AGAACTGATCTTGGTGGAGAGATCGGCTAACTGTGGGTGCTGTTTGAGAGGCCGTTAGCTACACTTGAAGCCAAGTGTGATGTGCTATCTCTGTCTCTGGAGCTGAGGTCATTTGAGGACAGATTGGGAGTTTTTACTTTGAGTGGTAGTGAAATCAGGCTCACTGCCTTTTCTGAACATGCTGAACTGTCATCCAGTGTGTCTACATTAAAAACTGTTTTGCCGGGTTAAAATCAATTATTTGTTTTTGCTTTGGATGCTTTACATTCTTGCTCACAGTTGGGTTGGTGTTATGTGAGAAGGGCAGAGTTGTGGGTTCATACTCATATACTCATGTAGTTGCAGACATACTTTACCCAAGAAGTGAAACAGTCCAAAACCTCAGATCAGAAGACGAAGACATTTTTCAAACCCCAAACAAAAGCAATAAATGGAAATAAGGATTAACTTTGTCAATTTTCACCCCTCCCACAATAAATCTCCAAAATCTTGGCTTTTATCTTAGATGGATAACACAATAGGCACCAGAGCACACCAATATTACGCAAATACTTCATGTGCTATCAATTATTTTGGAAGTATTAATCATCTGAATTGTGAAACGGTTTGACCTTTTTTTTTAATGGAGAGTGTATGAAGATGAGTGTTAGGCTGACACATTCTTTCTCTTATACTTGTGTCGGTATATTTAAAAGTAATTTCAGGAGAACGTAGCAGTGAATAGGGCTCTCCTCTCGGTACCAGCCCCTCCTGGCCTGTGGAGTCATGTGGAGCCAGAGATTATCTGTGTTACATGAGAAGGGAATAGGAGTGAAGTGAGAAATAAGATCTAGTGTGCTGCTAAGAAGTGTTTGGATGTTGTGAAATCAAGAGCATACATTCACTGTGGATGCAGCTATGCAACCCTGAGCGTTAGTGACTTCCAGTCTGCAACTACTAGGAGGGCTGGTGCCCCTCGGGTAGTTAGGCTTGGAGAAGGGGGCTGGTACAGGAGAGCAGAGCGGAGCAGGGATGCATGCCTAGGGTGTGTCCTCATGGAAAGGATTCTTGTAACAGACGCCTTGCTAAAATAAAAAGGTTCTATATAAATGTTTCTTAAGACCATCTCTTTTTAGTCATTAGCACAGGTTGAGTCCGTCAACATTTCCCCAATTATTTTGAGTTTCAGAACATGTGTTGCCCAGAAAGTAATATGTCCTGTACTGTTCTCTCAGTTGTCAATGCTTGATTTCTTCTTTAGTTGGTTTGCATATATGGATGTCAATGCTTTGATTTTCAAAATCAATCATGCTGGGTAGGTGAAAGCTGAATTAAATTGGATCAAACATATCTCTGAGTAGAAAATCTATATACTGCAGGTCCTATGCTGTCTGCCTGGCATACTATTGTTGCCCTGCTAACAAGTCCTGAAAGCAAACAGTCGTGGCTCTTGAGATTAAACAATTTAAATAAGCTGATAGTTTGAGCATCCTGCTGATCCTTCTAATTTGTCTGTTCCGTTACCCAGGTTGTGATAATTTCTATAGCTTTTCAGTTTAGCTTGGGTGAGTGGTAGTGTGAGTTGGTTTGCAAAATTCTGCAGGAGACATTCCTGCGAGAAGACCTGAAAGAACGAACTACTGCAGCGCTGGGGACACAGCTGTCCTGCCACAAGCTTTACGTGTCTGATTTTCAGACGCAGTGAGCAGTCAGGGCTCAGTGTCAGCCCTGTGGATGCTGACTTACAGCAAGCTTTTACTGCCTTGGTCTGAAACTGGCTTAAATGGGAGCAACATTACCACCCCTATGGATTAAACACTGCAGCATATTGCAAGAGTTAATTAATTGAAGCGAACTTGTCTGTGGAGGGCCACACAACCCTGCTGAGTTCACTGGGACTCCCATGAGTGCACGCCACAGAGCTTCTCAGGCCTGGTTCTAAGTGATGGTAAGTCAGAACTGCTCATAACCTACGAACATCTCTTAGGTTTTTGATAAACTGGTGTCTTAGGTGCACTGCTGAAGTCCATGGGGTCCAAGCTCACACCTGAAGCACTAAGGATGCGGGTGAGTGCTGAAGCCTTACTTTGCACCCTGTCTGAGTCTTGAAGCTGACTCTTCCATAGCTCAGTACCCTATTCCACAGCCGGCAGCCATGCGCTGCACCCAGCCGGGCGCGAGGGTTCAGGCTTTCTCCAAGGTGGCAGCAGCAGGACTGCACGCAGGGAACCGACACCAAACATCTTGACCAAAGAGCATCCATCATACACAAAACGCCTGCTTTTATTATCAACTTCAGAGTTTATTAATTTATCAAACCAGGTCAAAGTGATACAACAAGTACATAAATAAGTACCGTAACAGACATACATCCCATGAAGAGAATGAAAAACATGACACTGTGTATTTTGTTGTCTTAAGTGACCAGAAACTGGAAAAATGCAACACTGCATTTTACTAAATTATGCTTATGATTTTTTTTTCTTTCTTAAAAAGTGTTTATTATAAAATAAATACACAATCTGGATTCCACCTGTCCTGTCACAAATACAAAAAGCAGATTGCCTTCTTCTTAAAAAAAAAAAAATTACAAACACTGTACACTTTCCACTTAGTCTTTTTTCACCAGCTACTGCTACAAACAGACGACGCCTGTGAGGTGAGAAATCAACTGCTGGTCTTCCCACCAGATCGCTACAGCTCCTCAGAACCTCTTCCTTACAATGTCTTTACCAAAGGAAGATAAGGTTAATTCATGACTTATTAGAAGATTTATAATAAAATTTTGCACTTCTGCAGGACATTTCAACCCAGTAGATGCCACGTGCAGTGGGCGTTGCGGATGCCAAACTGCTTCTTCTACAGTTACACTGCAGTAACCTGTGGTGCAGTGAGGTCTTAGGACCTCCATTAGGCTATGCTACACCCCGCTTCAACACCAGGACAGGATTTATGGAGGCAGAGGCTACAGTCCCATGGAAAGGTGGTGGGACAGTCCACTTAGCTCTCCTTTTAAAGAACAGGACTTCTAATGCCAAGTGCTAGTTAAGACAGCGCACTATAGCGTGGTACCAGTGCTACAAGGTGCCAGTGGCCAGGCGCTGGCAGCGGGGCTGCGGGGCCCCCTCTGAGGAGAGCTGAGGGGCTGCCCCGTGCCGGACACGGCCGGTTCTGGCCGGTTCTGGCCGGTTCCAGCGGCCCCACCCCAGGGCACAGCTTGGGCCCTCCGCGAGGCTCGC